CGATCGAGATCGTGCTCGCGTTACGGAAAATGATTCGGTCCGGTTCTATTATTCACGGTAATTAAGCAACCCTCGAAATTTCACTTGTTAATGATAGCCATCGACTCGTTGCGTGCGATGTAAAGCGCGAGATAGCGAACCGTCAACGTTATCTCGCTGATTAACAAAGACGAGCTTAAGCAAGGAGAATAACAGAATGAATTTTTATACGACGTAATAATTTTATGAAACGAATCAAAAATACGTATCTAAAATCAAGAACTATTATGATCAACGAGGATGTGAAGATTTTTAGGCGACGAAGATCTTTCAAAGTATTGAAACGTCAGCGACAAAGCTCCGCTCAGAAGTTTTCAAGACCCGTTCGGAACTCTTAACATACGTGCGAGGCTTCAACCCTAAACTTGTTCCAATTGTCAGCGGCAGAGATCACTCGATCTGAACCTCCTTGTTTTTCAAATTAACTCACCTTTAAATCTGCTTCGTTTCCCAAATTTAGGAAATTCTCTTCGGTGTCACTGATCTTCCTTGAAAATTGTCAATTCCCCCCGGACGAACGTCGAATCCCTACTAAGCGCTGAGATAGATATCGATCGAATCGCGATAGGAATCGCGATCGATCAACCGATCGTAAGACAGGCAACACGCGCGTCACGACGGCGTTGCCTCGACTGATTGTGATTCAAGAACCGAGCGTCAAGTGACGGTACTCCCAGCGGTCCCGACTCTAGGTTTACGTTTACCTGAGCGACCAGAGGACAAGGACGAAACCGATCTTCTGGTGAGGACAAAGAGAGAGGCAACGAGCACACGCAAGTAAGTAGGTGTTCGCGAGGTGGGGAGATCGGCCGGACAGGTAAGACCGGCGAGAGAGAAGGAGAGAGATGGAGAGACACCTGGAAGAATGGGTTTTACAACGTTGCCAGGTTGTCTGGCGACCGTCGAATACGGGTTATGTTATGTGTACGAGGATTGAGTGGAAGCGTTGATCTCGTCGGCGGAGGATGATAACGCAGCAGCGGGTACGAACAAAGGGGATGACGAGTCAGCTGACAATGAACGCTGGAATCCGGTCAGACAACGAGGATCATACGTGTATTTCGGCGATGCACTATGGATTACATTCCTAATTACCGGTCTAGATTAAATTTAAGGAAAGATTCACAGTCTAATGACGACGAAAGAAATAAGAGAGGAATTCAGGACCGTTTAGAGGGAAATAGAAAAAAAATAAAAGATACGACAGGATTTGTTCGCTAATTTAGGAGAGGTTTTTTGGCTGTCCTAATTAGCGAATTTTTATTAGAAGAAGAACTCGTTTACTGACTCTCCACGGATTTTGAGTGCCAATTAAGGAACAGTCCGTGGGAAACTAATCTATAACAGAATCGCGTCTTACATATTCATTAACGATTCTTCATGATTTCATTCTTATCTTACAATATATAAAATCCCTAAAAAAAATAAAAGATACGACAGGATTTGTTCGCTAATTTAGGAGAGGTTTTTTGGCTGTCCTAATTAGCGAATTTTTATTAGAAGAAGAACTCGTTTACTGACTCTCCACGGATTTTGAGTGCCAATTAAGGAACAGTCCGTGGGAAACTAATCTATAACAGAATCGCGTCTTACATATTCATTAACGATTCTTCATGATTTCATTCTTATCTTACAATATATAAAATCCCTTATTTAATCAATAAAAAATATTATTATTTATCACAGTTCGAGATCGTTGGAATCGAACAGATCCAATGCGAGCGATAGGAAATTGATCTTATATTGAACACGTCGAATCGACTGTGCTGATTGTTAGCGATCGAAGAAAGGCGTGAGCCAGAAAAAGCGTGGCGGTTGGTACGAAAAAAAATTGGAGCGGGCTCGTTTCTTGATCGATTTCTCGTGTCCGCTGGTTGCCTCGCACTCGGTTTATCTCTTATCTTGGAAACCGGTTCGATCCGCGGATCATCCTTTTATCTACATACGCGCACCTATCTAAGTACCTCTCTTTCACGCGTACATTCACCGGCTGGACCCTCTCCGATGACTCACTGCGTATGCAAATCGCTGATTAATAACCAGCCGCCGTTCATATGGAAAATAAAGCAGGACGGGGGATCTGGTTAAGCGAGAGGCCGTTCAATTTGTTAAATCGTTCCCCTTTGTGAACTAATTACACTCGGCGGAGCCTATGGTCAAAAAGCTCGAGCACGCGATATTCGCATGATCATTGTAATTTACGCGATGATACGGTAAAGAACGTTCACAAGGATTAAATACCCACATACCGCGTGGCAAAAACATTATCCTTGTTCAGTCGATTTCTTGAGCAACTCGACGCATTCACTTTTTATAATCTCTACACATACGCGTTTCCAAGTTCGAAGGAATTACACAAGAATTCGAAAGCGATACTCAGCCGCAGTCTACGATAACTTTTTATGGTATCGATTCTAGGCGAAGTGCATTTCGATTCCGAACGTTTCGACATGGATCCTTCACGAAATTTTATGACCCAGTGGATTATTATGCGCGATACACGCAGAGGCATCGCGTCTGTGTTAATCTGCGAGCGAAGAGGATTTCCACGAAGATATCGTTCCAGCCTGAAAAACACTGGCAGAGCCAGTACCCACCTGGCTCGTAATTCAACAACCGCGGTTACCCACTAACCTTAACCCACACCGAGTCTGCGAAACTGTGATGGTGATAATATAATGGTCGAGGCCGATAATAGGTCGGCGGTGAAAGTTTTCGGCGCGTCGCTCTGTCCCGTTATCGGCCGTGTACGTATTCTTTACTTACGCTTACCAGGAAGCAACGGACTCGAAAACCGGCGACGCCTATCACCTGACAGCCTCGCAATTTAGGTCGGTCGATCCGAGTAAACCTCGGCTCACCTCAGCGACGATGATAACAATGATGGTAAAACTTAGCAACTTAATTTAGGAGCAATTAATTTCAGTCAATCACTCGAGCCTCTCGTCCTGCAATCTGTGCAAAAACCGCAAGGGGGCAATCAAACGTTCGCCCTGACGGACGACTATTTGCGCAGGCACTTACGAGTGCCGCCACTCAGTCAGTGGTCATTCCGTTAGCCACGGTAATTAAGGTTGCTCGAGCTGGCTAGCCGTTCGGCCATATATGTATGCACTCACGTGTAGTATACCGCGAATTACTTAGCACGATTGGCTCGGTTCTGTACAAGAACGAGAACGAGAACGAGAACGAATTACGTACGACTCGTCGCGTCGCGACGAGACGCGTCCCGTTAGGTCAACCTATAGCTACTGCTTCCACGTAACAACGATCCATGGAAACCGATCTTGCTTCTAGTCTTAATTAGGATTAATTAAGCCGGCGATTGCACGCTTCCGCGTAACGCGCCGTGTCTCGAGGTTCATAAAATTCTATGTATAATTGTTATAAACACGTTGGAAGTTCAGTCGGGACCGTATCGTTTGTAGAAATGATTATTACAATAGGTTTTGCATCACAAATTATTGTAATATATTTTTAAAATTGTAATAATTAAATGGATTTTACGGACAAGGTCTTAGAGAATGGGAGATGGACGTGAACACGAAATTATAATCTCGTGTGCTTTTTTACATTAAACTTGACACCGCGTTGTAAAACGAACGTGTTAATTAGCAATGATAACAGCGTACGAGTAAACGCGTAGCCGTGTCCTATGGCGCATTGATCGCGTTAATAAGAGAACGAGAATCTGAGAGCTCACGAGAGCCGAGCGTCTAAAAATATCAACGCCGCGTCGCCATCGTTGCGAGGGATAAAATCAGAAAACGAGAAATCACCGAAGCGAGAAGCGAAGGAAAGAGGTCGTTTTCCCCGTGAGCGCCTACGGCGGGCGGCACCCTCAGCGGGCGGTGATCATCGCGAATCTCGGGGGCAGGCTGAAAGCTTAAAAGCATCCCCTAGCCCCGAGCGACTCACCGTAATTCCCCATCGATTCGCCAATAAACGCTCGTCGAGCGACGATCCAATTTTTGTCGAAACAAAGAAGATACACTGTGCGATCGCGAGACCTTGAAATCACTTATGACTATCATTTGCCCGCGATGCCGAGATTATCGAGGTATCTGCACGGAATCGGAATTTTCTCTCGCGTTCCTTCAACGATCTACCTACGCGATGGGATGGGAGCGAAGCACGATGCGATAATAACCGTTGCCATAGGTTTGCCACGATTACTTTGGGGACCATGGGAACGTTTCCCTCGCCGGGAGATCGTGCACTCGTACTCTCGCGCAATTATAACGTTGCAAATATTGATTAAGTCGGCGAGGTAATTAATAAGTCGGTGGAAATCTTTTTATAGGGGCAATCCTTAATAGAGTTTTATAAAGTCAGACCTGTGTTCAGAATCCCCTTGTATAATAGATACCTGATACTTGTTTTAAGATGTTTTAAATCGTGCTCGCTTAGTGTTCGCAGACATGGATTCTTATCAAGATTATTGTTGAGAAATAATTGATTCAATTTTAAACGTGATAGAAATGCGAACATTAATCAGGCATGCTGTGTCTAAATACTTTTGGGAAAGTTGAATCAAGTAGTTTGGTGTAGACCAGTCGAAATTCCGTAGTTCTAGACGTTAGATTCCTCGAGTTTGGAAACCCCATAGCCTAGATTCATATCTTTGATCATCGATTTTAGATCATCGTTTTATAACTGAGTAATAGTGTTAAATAACAGTGTGACATACCTGCTTAATTGAAACCTACGCCATAGTAAATTGTATAAAACCCAGTACGAAATGAAGCAAACAGAATATCTTTACAACCCCAAAACAAATGTCTCGCCTACGAGGAGAGGAGAGTGCGAGAAAATGAACGTTAATGTTACCGTGACCCAATACACGAACACACGATCACACAGATAGACACACGATTAGAATATGATCGGCTGACAATGGGGGTATCGTCTAACACGTGGCTTTCGATGTTTTTCTCCGTCCGCGGGCCGTCGCGACGCAGGAGAGCGACGGTGGTTGCGATGGTAGCGACGCCGAGATGATCGGTAATGGGAGACGCGGAGGCGGAACGGAAAGGGATCGCGATATGGAGGAGGATGAGGAAGAAGGAAGGGAGGAGAGGAACTCGGAGGGTGGAGGTGGTGGAGGTTTCGGTGGTTGGAGGTCTCACCTACTCGGTGGGCTAACGCAACGCGTCAAATCCTGGTACTGGGGCGCCAGGCCCCTCGTAAGTTTTCTTATCCAAAAAAACAAAAAAAAAAAAAACAAGAACGGAACCCACCAAACATACACGTTACGTCTTCTACCATGCACAGATTTACTTATACATACATACGGATATCCACTTCTCTCTTTTACCATTTTTAAATCTGTCTTTCCAAACTTGCCTTCTTTGTTTTATTTGTATAGATATAAAATCGGTTCTCCGTTTTCTTTTCTCACGTCAATTTTCTTAACGCGACTGCTCGAATCAGCTCGAATGATCCGCTCGACTTCCGATCGAACTTCTCGAGGAGTTTCCTTGAAACTCAAACGAAGACGGCTGTCTTAATAGAACTTGGCGCTCTTAGAAGCCGGGCGGCCCGACGTTGGAATCTTCGGCACAATGCAAATTTTGCAAATTTCCATTCTTCCCTCCGGAGGAAAGGAAATTTTACTACCCTTATCTAAAGGTCTCGCGTCTCTCTTTTTACGCGACTTTTATCAACAAAGGTTTATCTCGGTATATTCGCTGAGCGTTTCGTTCGTTGCGATTCGAAGCAAATCCGATTTTATCTCTCTACTTATCACAATTTTTTGTTCCGCGGAACCAGAGAGGAAATAAAGTCTGTTTTCGTTTCATCTGTTCTCTCTGAAAATTGTTCACGAATAATTTCGTTGAACGAAGAAGAAAAAAAAACTTAGAATATTATTTAATTTTGTTTTCATCTCTTCTCTTTGAAAATAATTCTCGAGTGATTTTGCACCGGATCTAAATACCACGTTAGCATTAAACGCGATAAGTTTGGGGTTGAGATTCTATAAAAAGAAAAAAAATACGTAGTAATTTTATTCGTCGGTAATCCCAGTCCCTTAGACTCATCGCTAGATCAATAAATGAAATAGTGTCTATCTTAGTTAGCCCAATAATTTTGAATATCTCCATCAGAATACGATAGAAAGTAGTGCTCTCAATAATAGTTAGAGTCGACGCGAGCTAGTAAATGAATGTGTTTAAACTAAAAAATTTTAGTTTTCGACAGACACAACGGAAACTTCCGGCCAGAGTTGCCGAGAGTCTTCTATTCTTTCAGGTTTCGAGGACACGTTACTCGAACGAAACTTTTGCTAGAAGCGTACAAGAAACTCGTAGAAGCACATAAACGTTGCAGCTAAATTCTCACGTTAATGAATGAATTCTACTTCGATTCCGTATTTATACTCTCCTGTTTTAAACGGAATATATTATCGAACGATCTCGTAAAAGGGAGAAACGAATTTCGAGCCACACGAGATACGATCATCCGCTCTGGCATGAAGTTTTCCTCCATACAATTAGATCACTGTCTTTCACTAATTTCTATTACATTGTTACATACGTACATGCGCCTATGTATTTTTCTCTATCTGTCTGTCTTTCTCTGTTTCACGATCAACTCCTTTTTACGCTCTTTAGAGTTTAGTCGAACTTAGTCGAAATTAGCGTTAGGTGTGTACGTGTTTATTCTTAGATGTTCTTGCACATGCTACTTTCAATTTGTCCTGTTTTTGACTTTGTATTCTGAACGCACGAACTAATATTATTACGTCTTAATTAATGCCATGTATATATAATTATAAACAGCACTCCCCGACCCCCCCCCAGCCCGCCGTCACGGGACGCATATATAATTATATATACACCTGAGCCTGAAACGTACTACGTGAAAACGTAATTTTTAACATAGATGTCTTGGCATGCACGATCACTCTACTCACATCGAATGTAATTATGTAATACGTGGTACGGCCAAAGTTCGGCGGAGAAAATGCCTAGGCAGCGCGCGTGCAAATCGGTAGATATCGTTCGTTTCGTACAACTGTACACGTACTTACCGTCGTTAGAGATTAGAAACGTGCGAATGGATCCGTGATCGCAGATAGCCGACGGAACGACTTGCAATTGTTAGGGTAGAGGAACTCGTAGGAAGAAAGTCTGAATCCTATAATGAGGCTCTGTACGCCTTCGATGACGGTAAATCAGCAGAGAAAGCGTGGACGGAAGTTTTCACCGAACGCGAAAACTTGAATTAAACCGGAAAAGTTTTAAACAGTTTCTTCGGTGCGTTTTAATCGATCGTCGAACGTCAGAATTTTTACCTATCTCGTTATTATTCCAGTAATTTTTTAACGATTATGTTGGTTTTGCCGTCGTTGAATTATTTGATAGTCGTGACGCAAGGCAACGCGATTCAAGTCCAATTCAATTTCAACTAGTCCAGGTACAGGAAGAGAAATTTGCGTGCGTGTGCTCGCGTGGCTTTGACACGCACGGAACACTTTCACCGATTCGCTGTTCACGTTTCTCCTCGCGCGAATTTATTCGATTTCCACGCTTGTCGACCGTGACCTACGGATCCATCGATCTGAGAAAAAAAATCCTGGTTTCCGCGTGCGAGAAAAGATGCCTAATTGCCCGTCGACCATTTTGAAAGTAACAACCGAACGCTGTGCGTAATGCGATTCCTTTCTTAATATAGCATTAAACTGTCGTATAAATCTCTGGCCAACTCTGTATCCGCGGTAGACGTCTAACAAACGCATTAGTATTCGTTCCGGAAACTCGCGAGTTTACTTTAACGACTGGATTTAGTTAGACACTTTTCTCTCCAAAGGAGAGAAACGAGAGATTCGAAAAATGTAGAGTTTGCTTTGGAAAGTAAGTCGGGGGGGGCTCGAGGAAGTTCCGCGAGAATTACGAAATTTTGAAGCTCGACTAGCTTAGAGAACGTCGAGAACTCTCCTATGCGTACGTACTGGGGATTTTGTACGGTTGATTAATTACTTAAAATCTAGAAATGGTCATGAAATTCTGAAATGAAGAGACACGGAAACATTTAACATTTTCGGTACGATTCGATTCGTGAAGTAATAATTAAAAGAAACGACAAACACCGTCACTACCGCTGCCACCACCACCACCACCACCACTACCACTCTGTCCGAGCACCACCACACCCAAATGCTACCAGCCTCTATCAGCAAGCATGAAACTTAATTTTTTAATATACTCTTGCGATACCTATATCGATACTGTCTATTTTATTCATAATTTTTTCTGTCTACACGATGTTGCGTACGATTATTGCATATAGATAACCGGGAGAAGTTGTGCACCGTTGTGGAGAAGCGAACCCCGGTAGGCAATTAAATTTCGACAATTTATACGCTCGCTGATTCGAGAAATCTAAGTTCGTATCGTTTGAAAAATGTCGCAACAATTCTTACGAAGTACGAAACGTTTGCAACGATTCTCGAGAAACTTTCAATAACGTTTGGAAGTACCGTAGTTCTGAGAGACGAAGGTTGTCGAACTTCTTCTCACGTAACTGACTCTACCGACTACCCGGAATCTTTTCGACTACAGCGTGCACACGAACACTCGTCACTCGTCAGCATACGTATTCAGCCTCCTTGTTAGCTCTTGTGTGCTGTCATCGTGCGTGTTTCCAAGTGACTTTGACAGCCGGCGTGACAGTGACTTCGAAATGAACGAGTCGCAAAATCAGTTCCCTCGTAAATAAAATTCGTCTGTCTCTGTCGTGCGCTTTTAGAGAAGCGGTATGGGAAAAGAATCGTAGACGAGGGATGGGTGGCTGTCACTGTCGCTGTCACGATGGCGCAAGGTCAAGACCGAAAACCCGGACTGAGTCTTCGACTCTCGTTGAAACGTAGCGGTGGCCGTTTCAGGAACTCGCGCACAAGCTATCCCGTAGCTTCGACATGCAGGAGGCACAACTACTCGAGGAGGGTGGTTCCGGCGCGGCGGCTAGCGGTGCCGGTGGTGCGGGCGGACCACCCCGAAGACATCACAGCGCTCAAAGGTTGGCGAGGAGCGAGATATCGGAGCGAAGGGAAGAGGACGGGGCATTGGTGGTGCCCGATCATCAGGGTAACCTGAGGATCACCGTGAAAAAGACCAAGTCGATTTTGGGCATTGCCATCGAGGGCGGCGCCAATACCAAGCATCCACTGCCCAGAATCATCAACATACACGTGAGTTCAGTATTCTTGCGGTTAGAGACAATTTCACATGTACTTGTGGCATATATCATTCGATCATGTCTAATGTTATTGATAGGACAACGGAGCAGCGTACGAGGCCGGTGGTCTTGAGGTCGGTCAGCTGATCCTAGAAGTCGACGGCCACAAAGTCGAAGGTGAGCTTCTCTTAAGCTCTAACAAGTGGAAAGCACGACAATAGAGAGAACGACTGTTTGAAATATTGTCCGATTTGTACAGGTCTTCATCATCAGGAAGTAGCAAGACTGATCGCGGAATCGTTCGCTCGACGGGATCGAAACGAAATCGAGTTCTTGGTGGTCGAGGCGAAGAAGAGCAACTTGGAGCCGAAACCTACGGCGTTGATATTCCTGGAAGCGTAGCAGGAATCTCCCACCTCCGAGCCGGAACCACCGTAGCCCTACGCGACCAGAGCTCGGCCTTTGGTGCGTCCTCGACGTAGCTGAAGAGACGATCCGCCGCATCGATGAGAAAAGAAAGAAGAAGAACAAGCTTACCTCTTCAACTTCACCGACAATGGAAGCGTCGGTGAACGCTCTCGATCGGACGGCCGAGCTCTCGGTCAGGTGCTAACTGAGCCTGGCCCTGATGGTGGGAACTCTCAAGAGTAAATAAGTTAGAGGACAATGAATCTCGATTAGCGAGTCGATGGGATGATAAGTGCACGTAGCTGCTAATCGAACTGATACGATTCTACTTTAACCATCGTTTAATTATTGTAACGATACGAGAAGCTGTGTCTGATTAAATTGAAGCCGGCGAGGGAGAATAAGGTAATAGTATGATAAAACTTAATACGAGTAATACTGAGAAACTCCGAGTGGAAATATTACACATGTCGAGAACGGGGTGGGAAATTTAAAGGTTGACTGTGCCAAACTACTAGGGATTGTTTCGTGTATGATAAATTACGATATATTCTTTGATCGTAAAGTTCAAAGGACTCTATCCAAAAGAGATTCACAAGTTTTCAACTCGTCGCGTACGACGTTAGTGTGGCTTCTAATGGTTCATCGAGCAAACGCGAAAACTGTCAACAAGGGAAACAGATCGTCAAATTCATTGTTGACTAATGCATTATCGAAGATTCTGGTCGGTGTCATCGGTCAGAATTTTCATCGATCGAGTCTCACTCGACTTATCTAATAATGGTCCACTAACAACAATCAGGTACAATTTCACTAGTTTTTAAATTTCTTCTCATCCACTCCTGTACAAGTGCGATTGGAATGAATATTAATAAAATGTGCATAAAAAATAACACACGTTCTTACGTGTACGTATCTGTACATAATCTTCGTTCCAATCGCAGGTATACGCAGTTAAGGTAATTGAAACACTCGATATAATTTACTGCAATCAATATTTAGGACCTCCTACAGATAAAAAAATTATATTTTTGCATATCTATATTCGTCACGTAAACTGTAAACGTTGAAAATCGAGAGGAAAAACATCGACGAAAATCCTGACCGACTCGCGACTAATATAGACTTATTACGGGAATTGTTGAGGCTTAACAAAGTATATTGTACATAAATATATATATATATATATATTATTGATTATCGTAGAGTGGAATTGGAAACTTGTATGTACCTACCTACCACGGACTCTTCCGGGTGCGCGAAATGAAACGGTGAGATCGGCGACGATTCTATAAGAGTATCAGAATATTTTCAACAAGTTAAGTAAATTCGAATCTAGAGATCGCGGTTACTTAGAAACGGGCCTGATCGTGTTTGAGTTTACGAGCAATCGCGGTCGATCACCCGCAAAAAGATATACAAAATGATTAGTAGATCGAGTAGTCCAATCGTGAGTCGTAATTAGATTGAATTTCCTTTATGAGAGACATTAACTGATTTGTTTACAAATGGTTGTTAGTTCTCCTGTGCCCGATTGTCCGCGATTTTGCTCGTTTAATAAACGAAAATCTGATAAAAATATAAAAAGAAGAGAAAATTGTGAAAAAAATAATGTGCAAGCTTAAGTAGTAATCATCGCGTGTATGTGTAATGAAAACGATCGGATCGGAAGGCGAGAAACGATTGGATAAGAGGCACCGACGATTTAAAGGTTCATCGAATGTTATTGGAAATTACTACAAAACTGAAGTTACACTCTTTTAAATTGTATGATTCCAAGAAGGTTTACTATTTTTTCTTATGCCTGACTTTTACAATTAACAATAGCCGATAAGAATATTTTAATTTCTGTGCAATTATCTAATTCCTAAGATCCTAATTAAAGAAACGGAAATGCAGGTGGAATTTTTGGACCGTCGGTGTGCAAGCCAAGAGTACATGTGCCAAAAAGAATAAAAAGATTATATGTACAGAAAGGAATAAAGAAGAAACGTACGTAGCCTAAAATTCGAGCGCGGAAAACTAGTGAAAAACTGTGCATACGATTTTAATGGTAGAAGCAATCGCGAGTCAATGAACAATAGAAGGAATTAATACTAAAATGAAAAGGGGGTAAAGGAAGAGAACGTGTTTCGTTGCTGACGTGCACTCGGGTTGTTTTCCCCGTTATCGTTTCTTATACGTACGTTGCACCACGAAATCAGAAGCAACCCATCAATGAACTAGAACGTCAAGGGAAAAGATAAAGATGCAAAACAGAAACTTGTATTGGCAAATTAAGGAAATCATAAAAGAGCAACTGCTTTCCATACGAAACTAAAAGCAACTTGCCTCGTGCGCTGTTTCTTCCTGTTTTCGAAACGAATTTTTCTATCTAAGCATTCACGTATATTCGACGTCCCAGAGAGAAAGAGGAAGAGAGAGGGAGAGAGCCCGAGAAAAGAAATAGATAGTTAATAAATAAAATAAAAAGAGACAAGAGAAGAAGAATGAAACCGAAAAGAGATCGTCGAAAATAAAATGCAAGATACAAAGAAAATATTTTTGTAAGAGCCTTCGATGTAACGCGAATCACTGGGACGATTCGGAGATCTCAGCTGACATATCCGACAATGCCTTACCGCTTTCAAAGAAACAAAAGTGTTATGAAAACGAAACCGAGGTCCGTGGAAACAACGCGAACCGCTCACGATTAAGGAAAACATTGGAGCTTCCCCTAATTATAAATCAACGCCAGTCGAAACGATACGGTTTTACGATTTTAGCTAAGAATATATAAATAATCCAGCGTGAAGCGACGCCGATAATCTTTCTGGTTGAAGAGTTATGTAAAGTAGGAGAGTGGCGAGAACTGGTTTTCTATCGCGCTCGGTTCGCAACGGAGAGCTCTGCTTAAATCTAAATGTGTAAACGTTACTTCAATTCTCTAATCTTAACGCTCTGGCAGACAATTTGTCAACGTTCATAAGCGAGAGACCCTTCGCAAGAGTTTGTCAAGTTTCCTATCGATTGTTCGCAAACAGTCCTCTGAATAAAGAAATTTGCTATGAATACTTTACCCTCGTTTAAGCCAAAAAACACGTACGTATGTACATACGTATGTACTTTCGACCGAAAAAGTTATCAGTAAGTTTCTCCTTCACCCAATTGCAACAAAGTACACGAGATCAAGGAGAGGATAAAAATATATAATCGTTTAAAAAGACTGCCAAACTGTTGCAATTACCTCGAAGCATTACCAGCTTCATTATCTTGCACGATGTACAGCTCGGGGCAATTATTCACGACCCGTTTTTAATTGCATTAGTTTTCCCTAAGAGGACAAGACGCGAAAATAGTAATAAATCTATGCCTCGTTTTTTCAATGCTTTAAACAAATGTCCTATCCCCATAAGAAAAACTGACACGATCTAAAACGGGTCGAAAATCATTATCTCAATTTGTACGCTTCACGGTCGCTGCATCTACCGATCCTATCGGTATAACAAAAGAAAACAGAGATTCGTCGCTATTTTTCCACACGTACACAGCCAAACGTATATACATATACATACAATATGTATACACACACACACACATATACACGTACACGTACAAGTTTTTCCACCTTACTCGCCAATAAAAACGGACAGTTCGAGAAAAAACTGTCGCTCTCGATCGAGCGCTTTCCAATTCTCGATAAAGAAACAGAAAAACGCGATTCAGTGTGTCAACGAAAACAGAAAAATCGATATTCCCCTTCGATGCGTTACAATTGTTATTTCATCCCGCAGCGAATTCGTTCCATGCGATGAAAGTTGGTTTCTATATTAAAATCGGATTGATCATGAACAGAGTAAACACCTTTCTCCGATTAAAATTCTTTACGTGAATAAAATTGGTTTACTATTTCTTTTAACTTTTCCCATCGCGTATTATGCATGGATATTTTAAAGCCGGTGACAGATTAGAGCATCCGCTATTAACAAAACAGCGAGCACGTTCGAATGTGCAAACCGAGCAGTACTTGTCTCTAATTTGTCACTGGCTTGAAACCGCTCACCGTATCGCAGAATCCTGTCGTGGGCGCTACCGTTTAATCAAGCGTTGAAGTCCCCCGTGACTCTAGTATGGGTTTATTACTTCCCTTCGGCAAATCCGTTTAGTTTATCCGTGAAATTTAATTTGTTTCCTCTTCATCAAGATGTAAATATTAAAGCGATAGTTCGTGTTACTCGGAAAATAAAGCAATTATAAAATGAAGTGAATAGTTAGCACCTAATCATTAAATTTCACTTCGAAGGGGAATCGAGCATCCCAGTCACTAGATCGTACGTACAGTAGGTTTATAGCGCATTGATTTTTAACGAGAACCGACATTCTCGAATTAAAGGTAGCATAAGCTTCCACAAAAGCCAGACGACACACGGAATAAAAAATAGGTATACGCGTGTGTCGCGAAATCAAAGTCGCACGGCAGAAACGAAAGAGCGAAGTAATCTAGCGAAGAGCGATTTATTTTTTCAACGACAAAGAGAGAAAGAACACGCAAACTTGTACCTACCTTGTGAACCCGTTCAAGCTTTCGCAAGTTCACTGTCCGCAAATTCGCTTGCTGTCGATCGAACCATGGGCTGCGGGCAATTATACACATCCACGATTTTATGTTCCACCAAATTAGAAAGCGTGTATTTTTATAATAATTCAAATCAGATTTGATCTCTCAATTACAGCTGTTTATTGTTTTTAAACGATGTTAACTTTTGTTCATGACAATCTTGCTTGGATTTCGTGGCTCGATCGACGAGCAAAGCTTGCAGGAGATTCTAGCTTAAGCTTCGTATACATACAATTATACATAATAGTACACGACTACACATCCTCGTGATCGAACGCCACGTTAGCAGGCGATTCGCGAGGTGAGAATTATCCGAGCGTGACGCGAAAAACGCTAATCGAATTGTAAAGCAGATGTAACTGTACTCGTAACTCGTAACGTTTCAAGGAACACTGTGTACATAAGCAACAGGAAGAGAACGCATCCTTCATCTTCATCTTCATTGGTCCTTCCTTCTTGCAGTCGACTTCGTACACTATTAATGAATACGGGATGCGTGCAGGTTCGCATGGACGATAAGCGGCGAGTATTAATTAATAAATACGACGCGATTAATACGCTCGTTACGGACAGGAAAGATCGTTGATGATGAAAATTGTTATACGTGCGAACGTTCACGATGTAATGCGTATAAGACGTGGGGCGAATGTGAAGGGAAACAAAGTGCAACAAACGCGATCGTATCGTTTGAGTATTACAAATCGTGACGCTTTGATTGTTCGTTCGAACGTTGTTGTTCATTACACATCGTGTTATTTATACGTACATCGTCGTCATCGTGATCGTCGGAAGTTGCGAACACGGTTACGGTTACAGCGACTGTTTCATTATCGTTATACATAGTTATTACGATCGTGAATATTACTATTAATTGTCATAATCATAATCATCATCATCATCATCATCATCATCATCATTATTACCATCACTGCGATAATGGCGATTATTATTGTAATTGAATAAAACTTTCACCACGGGAGATTCGTGAATATTTATTAACTCTTCTTTTATATTTGCTCCTTTATGTAAATGATTGTGTCGTACTTCTCGATTCACAAAGATTATGAGGTAGTGTTTTAAAAATATCTTCATGTACTTGCAAAAACTTGCAAGGAAGGTCATACAGAATTTTACTCTATCTCGAATAATTCAGGACTGATCGATTAATTATTTCGTTCATCGTCAATTACTCTTTATCCAGTAGATTATACGATCGGTTCAGCATCGACGAGTGTTTTGCTTTCTATTTCTTATTTCGGTGGCAATATATTCTACAGACCATTAAAAATTATACATTTTTTTGTGTGACACAAAATCCTATAAAGCTGCCTATTCTTTAATAATTTCTCCTCATGCATGAATTTTGAATAAACTGTGGAAGCCAGAGAATCTCACAGGTTTCTCGTTTACCGTGGCACAGTAAGCGTATAGCCTGCAAGACTTAATGGCAGCAGTAAATATAGTAAACTGCTTCCAAGAACATTTAAAATAATGTTTGACACAAGTTTTCTTATTATGTAATTGTTATATGCCGATTTCGTTAACTGCACTCAATATTTTACACTCTATTTTTCAATTGGTCTTCAAGTACTTAATTACGTGCAGGTTAACGAGTTGTGCTCGCTCGGAGAATCTGTGCGCACGAAACAGTGTTTTCAATAAACCAGGCTAAACTTTGTTTCAATGCAAACGAGAAACAAAACATTGCAGTAACGCGAGTAAACTTTACTATCGATTCGTTTTAACGGAACCGCAACTATGTTCTGCAAACAAACCCAATGTCTCGTTGGAATTGCTGATAATTGAAGGAGTATCGCGAAATGCAATAGAACTTCGCCTAGAACAATAAAAACTACTTATATCTATTGACAAATCGCTCATATTAAGTTAAAGATCGAGAGAAAGAAAAATCTGCAAGGAAGCAGAAATAAATGGTAAAGTAAACGAAGTATGAAAAGAAGAATCATGAAGCATTTCGGAATCTCTCG